GTGTGTAGTGGTTAAGGGACTTGGCTGCTGACCACAAGGCTGGCGGTTTGAACCCACCAGCTACTCCATGGAAGAAGGATGAGGCAGTCTGCTTCTGTAAAAAGACAGCCTTGGAGACCCAAGGTGGGTCACTATCAGACAGAAGTGACATGACGGCAGTGAGTTTGGGTTTTTCTTTTTTCAGGTTTGCTTCCATGGGTGTTGATTATGGATGCAAGTGAAATGAAATCCCTGAGACTTCATCTTCCCTCCGTTTCTTGTGGGTTTGCTTATTGGTCCAGTTGTGAGAATTTCTGTTCATGTTGAGGTGTAAGCCACACTGCAGACTGCAGCCTTTACCCTTCATCAGTAAGCACTTCCAGTCAGCCTCCTTTCAGCAGCAAGCTGTCATCAGTGTACCGCAGGTTGTGAGCGAGTCGTCCTCCAATCCTGATGCCACATTCTTCTTCATACAGTCCAGCTTCTTGGATTATTTGCTCAGCATACAAATACAGATTGAACAACTGCGGTGAAAGGATACAACCCTGACCACACCCTCCCTGATGTGAAGCCACATGGTATCCCCTTGTTCTGTTCCAGCCACAGCCTCCTGGTCTGTGCACGGGGTCCCCATGAGCACAGTAAAGTGTTCCTGAGTGTGAGGCTGGAAGTCTGGATTCAGGGCGCCGGCTGCAGGGGAGAGGCTCTCCCTGTCGGCTCTGTGTGGAGGCCCTGGTCCCGTCACCTTCTCTTCCTGGTTCCTTGGCCATCTCTGCGAGTGGAGCATCCTTCCCCCATTTGTGTGTTCTCCTCTGTCCTAACCTGCTGTTTCATCTCCGGGGTGACTGGCTTCAGACACAGGCTATAGGGATACAGCCTCATAAACATAACAACGAACACCCTACCCCCAAATGGATCACACACACAGGGATAGGGGTCAGGACTTACAACACGTACTTCAGAGACACAATTCCACCCGTTACAGATCCGCACTGATCACTGATGAACGCCAGGCTGTCCTCAGAACCACCCTAGCAGGTGGGGACTGCAGCTGAGGC